GGCGGCGAGGGGCGGTAGCGGCGAGGGGCGGCGGCGGCGGTGAAGCCCGCCGTTGGAGAGGCAGAGGGCTGCAGAAGAAGACCTGCTCCGCCAGGCGCTGCAGCGGGCCCGCAGCCCCTCGAGCACGGCCCGAAAGTGGCATGCCGCGCCAGCAGGCGGGCGCATCAGGCCGGCGGAAGAGGTTGCAGTCGTCCCACTCGCAAAGTCCGACGATGTAAGGAGCGTAGGCGAGTTCCGCGGCCGGGAGTGATCGCCGCTCGACGAGCGAGCGCAGCTCCGCGACGCTGGGCCCGAGAACCGCCTCTGGCTCTCCCGTCGTGGCGACGCGGTGGAGCAGAAAGAGGGTCTTCGCCGTGGTCACGGGCCGCGCGCCGCATGTGGACACGCGCTTGGCCAGTGCGCTCGCGACCTGCTCCTGCAGTTCCGGCTCGCAGGACCAGCGTGCCACGGCAACCACATGCTTCTCCTTGGGCTCAAACAGGTCGTCTGTCGTCGCCTTGAAGACCGCCGTGGAGATCTCGTCCATGGCTGCGGTCTGCAGGTTCCGCAGGCCGGCGGCCAGGCGGCCTGCCATGACGGTTCGCTCACCTCCTCGCGCCGCCTCCCGGGCCGAGCGCCTACCAAAAAAAGAATTTTCCCTCGACGGCACGGGACTGGCGCGCACTGGCACTAACACAGGTACACCACGGGAGCCGCCTAAGCGACTCCCGCGAGGACGGCGAGGCACTTAGCGTACCAAAAAAAGAATTTGCCCCTTGCATGTGAGTGTGTGGCGTCATGTGTGCTCCCATCCCTCCCTTGGGGTGTCCGTTTTCTTTCTTTCTTTCTGGCGTCATGTGTGTGTCCGCCTGGCGCTTGTTTCATTGTAACATCGAAGGCTAGCTCAAAAAGAATTGTACCACCGACTCCCTCTCACGACACTAGGGTCTAGGCAGTAGGCACGGGACTGGAGCGCACTGGCACTAACACAAAAACAAACACAAACACAAACACAATAAGAGAGAGGTTTTCAAAATTTTCTCTCTCTCTCCCCAAAAGCTCCAGGCCCCAAAAGATGTGTGAGTGTTAGAGTTGTTTGGTATTGCTAAAATCCTAGATAAAATCTCTCCCTCCCCCCCCCCCTCTCTCTCTCGCTCTCTCTCTCTCTCTCTCTCTCTCTCTCTCTCTCTCTCTCTCTCTCTCTCTCTCTCTCTCTCTCTCTCTCTCTCTCTCTCTCTCTCTCTCTCTCTCTCTCTCTCTCTCTCTCTCTCTCTCTCTCTCTCTCTCTCTCTCTCTCTCTCTCTCTATAACACAGGAACACCAAAACAGAGAGAATTCAATGTACAATGACGTTCCCGGACCCGGCGTGGGACAGTGTCGGCGGACAGCACTGGGCACGGGACTGGCGCGCACTGGCACTAAACACAGGTACACCAAAAATTAATCACTGGAAACCAGGGTCAGTGCTCCCCGGCCCTGGATGGGAGGCTATGACCTCAAGCTCACGAGTGGTCCAATTTTTCATTTAGCTTTAGACCGCCTAACCGACGGCGCCGCCATCCTCACGAGTCTAGCTCTCCCTTTCCCCACTCCATGTCGCTCCACCCCATGTTGCTCTTTGACAGCTGCAGAGGGCGCATGCCCGGCTCGCTCTCCTCACGCAGCAGCATGGAGGACTGGCGCATCGCCCGCTTGATTGCGTGCTCGAGCGAGCGGCTCACGATGGCGCATAGCTCGTTGGCCTGCCACGAGAACTCGGCGATGCGCACCTGCGTTCCGAGGCGCAACGAGGGGGGCCTTGACGGTTGGGTCGTGTGGCGCACCACCACACCGACGGGCGCGCCTCGGCATTCCCAAACACCGTGCCGGTCACCTCGAGGTTGAGATCGAAATCGAGCTGCAAGTTGCTGTGCTTGTTGTCGGCGCGCTCCTTGAGCATCGCGCGCAGTTCTCGCAGGTAGCCCTTGTGCGACACGACCGCCAGCGTGCTCGCCTCGCGCCGCGGCAGGTCGTCGTCCAGGAACCGCGCTGCCCGCTTGCGCACCGCGGCGTTATCCTCACCCTCCGGGACAACCTCTCCGGTGCTGATCCACGCCTCAATCTCCTGAAACTCGACTTGAGGGAACTCTGCCGCGAG